CTTGTGGTGTGAGGAACAGCTGTGGCAGGTATTGTGCTCTGAGCTTGGAAAATCAGAATATCTGTTAAAGAGTCTGGTTGTTTTATTCATTGGGGGTTTCCCTTAAGGGAATTAGTTTCTTAAGAGCTCCATTTCTTCCTCTGTTTTGTTGGTTCTTACTAGCAAATACAAAAGCTTTCATTAAAGAGGAGGTAAATAGGGCTGAATATGTATGGTTTGTCACACAGGGTTTAAGACTTGTGTTTTCCCATGTTTCCCTTCTTTTGAATTAACAAACCCCCAAAAGCAGAACTTTTATCATAATAACATTTTTATAGCTCCCTTCTAGATGTTTTCAAATTTGTCTTTTTTGTTTGTTTGCTGGGATTTTCTTAAGCTTTAGCCAAAAATGAGGAAGGGAGGGAGGAGTCAGCTGCAGTTCCTTTAGCATTTTCAACCTCTCTCAAGTTCACCCTAGAAAGAGGCAACTTGGCAGTCAGCAGGGTTAAGGGGGCAGAATCTGCAGAGGGGGAATAATGAGAATGTAAAGTCAGAAGATTTTGGAGTGTCATAAAGAACATGTACTATTGTTAGTATAAATCTTTTATTTAAAACACTTTCAACCCTAAACCAGAAGGTGCCGTATTGGAGCTAAATGCTATATTGCATTGCTTCTGATACTTTACATATATGTTTTTTAATACATCTTAAGATGATGTCTGTTCTTTTTTGTTGTTGTGAACATACTGTTGATTCATCTTGAATGTACTGTAGCTGTGCTGTATTATGGTCTTTGTGGTGATGCACAGGATGCACACAGTAACATCAGACATTTCTGATTCAGCCCCTAGAACGTGTAAAGGGCTTGTTTTCCTCTCCTGTTAAATACCAGAATCTTGTGACATCCTGATAGCATTTAGGCCCTTCAGAGGATGCATAACATACAAACTCAAAGTGTGGTGTCCTGCATGCTAGGAATCTGTCTGTTACCAGATAGGAAAAAAAACCCCAGCTTTTCTTGGAATGTGGTAGTCTACATGTTAGGAATTTTTATGTTACCAGATAAGAAAAAAAAACCAATTGTCCTCTCTATATGAATCATTCTCTTCCTTTATTATGAAAGCAGAATGCTTTAAAGAAAAGAAAGTTGATCACTGCTTGTACCTGAACATTGATTTTTTTTTTTTCTGTGGTTTATTTCAGTACTCTTGAATGCATGTGTTTCAGATAGTGTGCATTTAAAAAAGTGAAAGATTGAGTGGATAACTTTAAGGTTTAACCAAGTTTAAGACACCTTGAATCTTTCACTGGGTACCTTATGTATTTCGTAAGTGTTGGATTCTAACATTCAAAAAATGTTTTCAAAAGACAGTATATGTTCAAACACAAATCCACATCTAATTCTGTATCCTCCTCATATGACTTTTTATGCACCATCCTACCTTTGTAGAAGACCCTTTATATTGCAGTCATGCCTAATGACCTGCTTGTAGGCATTGCCTACAAAAATATTTCAGGTGGTGTTGTAGTTGGCAGGTTTGCAGCTCTCAGGGGAAAAACACTGAATACACCTAGTGTGATTACGGTCTTGATCTGTTTTTTTTTTACATGGAGGACGATGTCAAAATGCTGTTTGTTCTTTGGGCAGTGCAGCAGCAGACAGTGGTTGACCTATGCTGGAGCTGAGTGGTCTGAGTTCATTCTGTGTCCAGCTGGGGAGAATGTGGATGATGTCAGTAGGTAGTCAGATGCTGAAAATGTGCTGTCTGCTCTGACAGACAGACTGCATGTTCTCCTTGGCTGCTTGGCCCCTGCTCTCTGATTTTAAATGGGCCCAGCTTGAAGGGATTAAAATGTGGTGTAAACTAGGAAGAGCTGCTGTGAGGAAGAGGCAAAGACAAAAGGGTGCGCTTGGCTAGAGTGATGAGTGATTGTTAGAGCTGCAAGAAAAATGGGATGAGAGGTAGAGAATTATATGGGAAGAAGAAATATTACAGTTAAAAAAAGATCTGGCAAAGAATTAATGGCCAGCCTGCTCTATGAAGTTGATCATTCTTGTGTTAGAGGGTTTCATGCAGAAAGCCACAAAAAGCGTGTATTTTTTTTTGTAAATAAATACAGTGGTCATTAGAAGTTAATGGTAAGTGTTTGACTGCAATGACAGTTTCTTTGGGATTTCAGAGTATCACTTGTTTATTCCGTATTTCAAAAATTGGCAATGTAGCAGAGCTCTGTATTTCTCTAAGTAAAATTACACTCTGTGTTGTATATAAATGGGTGTGAGATTGTACACAGAGCCAATTTATTGATTTAGGCATGGTTTATCAGCAAAATTGCTTCTTCTGTATTGCATAATCTTGGCGAATTCCAGCTCTGTTGCAGACACTCTAGATGCAGGAGTGGAATAGAATCCAGGAATACCATCTCTTTATTTATTTCCTCTTGTTTCTTTTTAATGGAATTGACAGAATTAATTAATCTTTAGTTTATGAATGATTGAGTGTCAATGAGAGACATGTCTCCCATTAAGATGAATGCTAAAGTTGTTAGGGACTTGTACCAGAGGAGTGGAATATGCATTTGTGAATGGAAAGACTGGTCTTACTACTGCTGCTCCTTGGGCAAGGCCAGACTGCTAAACAGTCTCTCCTGTAATGGTGGTTGCTGTCTGTGACTCAGTTATGCTCAGTCTTCGGAGAAAACATCCCATTGACAGGTGAGCTATTTCTGAATCATGTAGAGTGGGAAGATGTGTGCTCCCTGGCTGACATTAATAGTGGAAGGGAATGTACAAGCTTCTTGCTATCTTTTATCAGTTTTTGCCACCTCTACACTGCCGTTTTGTCTCGAGTTAAATCCCATCCTCACTTTTCAGAAAAGAAGCTGTGAGGTGACCGCACACTATAGCTGATGAGATAGTTAGTTCAGTCTCCTTTGCAGGCATAGCATTACATAAACTAAAAATATATGGATGTGATTACGTAACAAAACTTTTTCTTTTAAACCAACTTTATATTTTAAACCCACTATACTATTTGGTGTGCATCCACCCGCAAACCTGTCTTTTTGCCTTAGCTCCTTATGCTCTTACATGTACAACAGAGCCAACAGTATGTCAAATCTGTGTTTGAAACAAGTTAAATATACCACATGCCTATTTTTACCAATCAGTTATAATAATATTTCCAGCTACAAGCAGGAGAGAAGCTAGTTCCATAAGTAATAAAATAATATGAAAGGAAGGAGATGTGGTGGGGTGGTCCTCTAAATTAGGAAGTGTTTCAACTGTACAGAGCTCAAGGATAGCAATGGTAAGGCTGAGTGCCTGTGAGTGAGAGCAAGACTGCCAAAAAGGCCGTCATCCTGAGGGGTGTCTCTTTTAGACCACTGAGCGAGGAGTGGGAGGCAGATGAAGTACTCTGTTCAGCAGTGGGGTGGCGTTTCACGATTACTAGCGCCTGCTCTTGTGGGAGACTTTAACTTGCTGGATGTCTTCATTCCCAAAAATGTTTTACTCCTTTATTTTGTTACTCTTTGAAGAGCTAGCTGCTTTAGAGTTATCTTTGTAGTACTGATAATTAACCTCTGCTTCTGTTGCTGAATAGTGTTTTCAGCTTTATTAACTTCTAATCATATTAAGTGTCTTTTCTGTTCTTTGGCTTTGTGATTCTTAAAACAGCAGGAGGTTCCAGACTTTCTGGTTTTATGTGGTGTTTTTTGTATTTGGGGAGCATATAAATTCCTCTAAATCTAAAACTATTTGAGAAGTGGCAAAAGATCAGTATGACTTTCAAAAATTCAGTATTTTGAAGTAATTTTTAGCTAGAACATTTCATAGAAATTAATTTTTTCCACCTTTGTTTGGCATGGCAACAAACTTTATGTGATTTAAGGGAGAGTATCTATCTTGTATTCTGGTTCTCCAGTCTCATATAGTTGCTTCCACTGTCTTCACATTTGGTTTCCTCGGGTCTAAAGAATGTTACATATTTGCTGGTTATAGCTTACTAAATTACGTAAAATGTGTTACAAAGAGTAGGAGAAAAGTGCTTCTGGCTAGATGGGACTGGTAGTCTTTGATTACTGGCTAATTTTATTTGTTTGTGGAGTATTTGGATTTTTTAATTTTAACTCTGTATATATACTACTAATGAGTGGACACTTTCATATCCTCCTGCCACATGCATAAGATTGAACACCATACAAATCTAGAAGAGGTAACACACAACACCATCAGATTTGTGGAGCATAATGGTTAGCACTGAGGCCCTGATATCCACTGTATTATGGATTTGGGCTAGCCATGACCTGGACTGAATGGTGACTGCTGCTTTAAAAGCACTGATTTCATGCCTGGATCACACTTTTTAAAGTCTAGGTTCACCTGAAAGCATTAAGTTTCCTGACTATACTGTGGAGTGTGAGTTACAGAGGACTGTCATGAGAAGCAGGCTCCTTGTCCAAACTAAAAACATGTCACACTCTACAACTATCACAATTTAACCGATAGAGTCATGGATCTTTCAGTGTAAGTTGAAATTGCTCCTACTTTTAAGTGCTGGAAGTCTGCAGTGTGAATGGCTGTGTCAGCCAAGAAGGTGACACTGTATACAAACAAGCTTTTCAATATAAAATTCCAACTAATGATAGTTCTTACGTGGCTCTAGCTTAAAATGGCTCTAGCTTAAAGGAACAAAATAAAACACCATAGTTTCATTTGTAATAGTTAAGATTTTTAGCCACTAACAGTGTTTGACAAATATGCTTTGAAGCAGTAGTTTTGAAATTGTGGTAGATTGGCTTAAAGTGAAACTTTCCAGTCTGACATATAAGCTGTGTGCAATAAGGTGATGCTAAATTTTTTACTAAGCTTGCTATGAAATTGTCCCTAGCAACTTCATGTAATTAATTGCAGAATTATAAATTACTAGAGCTAAAAGAGTGATGAGCAAAACTATTATAAAAGTATACTTGGATCTGTTTGTATGCAAATTTTTGGAAATGTTTCCTGATGCTTGCAGGTGACACTTCATATTTTATTATGGACCGTTTTGAAGACATATCAGATGGTGAAGTGGATCATGCCTTCTTTGACAGTGACTTGGAGGAAGAGAAAAAGAAAGTTGAAGAACATGGTGAATATATAGAGAAAGGAACTACAAAGGCAGATCTTGCAGATACTTCTCTGGCTTCTAATTCAAAGGATGAAGAGTATTGTGAGGAGAAAAGTGAAGAAAAGCAGATAGATTTGCAGAAGGATCAGACCCTACAAAATAGCACAGATCCTGTTGAAGCTGCTTCATCTGTGACAGTTTCTCCTTTTGCAGAGAATGAAGGTGGAGCAACACCTGCAGCAAACACAGGAACACAGGAGAATGTTCCTGCTGGAATTCCCAAAATAGTTAAAGAAGGTGAAGAAGATTATTATACAGATGAAGAAAATAGTAGTGATGATGGCAAAAAACAGAAGGTTAGACCAAAGTCAGCTAAGCAACCAAACAACATAAAAAAGGCTACCAAAAAATATACTATCAGCTCCTCCTCCTCTTCTTCCTCCTCCTCATCCTCCTCATCATCATCCTCAAGCTCAGATACAGATTGTTCTGATACGGATTCTGATAGCTGTTTATCAGATTCATCTCATTCTTCCCCAAAGAACGGTGCTTGTAGAAATGCTCTTCTGTCTCCAAAGCAAAAATTCAAGTCAACAATGAAACTAGCAGAAGAAAAAACAAAACTTGGTGATGATTTGGAGGAGTCTGAAGACACAGTGACTGATGTAACACCTCTGTCAACTCCAGACATCAGTCCTATCCAGTCGTTTGAATTTGTAGCATCAAATGATAAGAAACTGAAAGTAAAGAGACAGGAAAATGTGAACCAAGAATTATATGGTAATTTTGAGAATTTAAGTACAACACTAAATGTGCAAAACCTATGGTGCTGGGAAATTCAATCTTATATCTCTATTTTTTTTAATTAGATTCGGACTTTGATCGCAGATATAGTCGAAAAGTCTTGCATGATGCCATGGACCTGAATCAGCTTCTGAAAGGTGATTTTTAAATTTTCTTTTTACAAAATATAACATCTGCACATTGTTGAGAACAACTGTGTTCTAATAGCAAGGTTTTAATGTGTTGAGGGTATTTTTAAAACTGGTTGGTGTTTAAGTAGTATTGATCTAATTCTTTGAATTCTTCTCTGTGTAGCAGTACTGATTCTGCAGTAGAGAGAAGCAGCATGTGTTGGTTTGCACATGCCTAAAAGTAAGATACACAGATGGGGTGAATCTAAAAAATATTTGATATATTAAAAAATGGAATAATAAAACTGCACATGCATTTTTAGCTGTACTGGACTCTGGCACGATTTAATATCTAAATAAAAACATAACCCTTTCTGTAGAAATGCTGGATTATCAACCTCCAAAACTGAAAGACAGTACAAAATTTCACTGCATGGTAAATAATATTCATCTATTTAACTTCTAGTACCTTTTTGAGAATTAAACAGAGGTATTTGAAATTGTTTTAGAACTGGGTGTCTGTCTTCTAAAATACCATAGGTTGAGTAAAGGTACTTTAAAAAGAAAAATATATTATCTTTGCTAAAACTCAAGTGGTTACTTCTGGCCAATAGACTTAAAAAATCTTAGTAATGAAGCCTAAGAGAAAATTTGGAATCTCTGTCCCCACTTTCAATGCAAACCTTCATTATATAGGGTGAGAATACCCTGGATGGTCTTATGTGCATATTTTAAGGTCTATACAGTGCTTTTGCATTTGTTTTTATGGCCCAGAGTTTTTGGTACAAAAATCTGTGAACTAAAAGAGGCTTGACTCAAGAAATCTGCTGATCTTGGGTGAGGAAAGCCTCTTGCAGTTTAAGTCTGGTACATTCCAAACCGGGTTTGCTGTGTTCATGTAAGACTGGCATGACTAAAACTGCATGTGTTGTGTTTCTTTACTTTGCACCTTGCCAGACTGAGCTTCTAGTGAATAAGGATTTCAAATGTATTGCTTACATGGTTTAACTTGCCTATGGGTAAAACTGTACAGAAAAAAATCCTACAGAAGTTCTTCTGATGTTCAGAAAAGCAACACTAGCTATCAGGAAAGGTACATCTTACTCTGGTACATCTTACTCTCATCTATGACAGGCCTTGTGCTTCAGCCACTCTTTCATGCTGGAAACATTTCCAAACAAACAATTGTCAAACATGATGTCAGTAGAGTTGCTGTTAGGCTATTGAAAATATGATGTCCTGTCTTTATTTGATCCCTGTTAGCAAGAAGCTAGTTAATAACTGGTGGTTAGCAATAGATTCATCTCATCCCTAAAACAAATGGGTATTATAGCTCAGAATGGGTACTCTCAGAGATTAATCTCTGTTGGGGAGAGGAACCTTTCTCTCAAAACTGAAAACCAATGCTAAATAAGAATAATAAAGATAGAGTAAAGAGAAGTAGAATTCATATAGTCTGACAGCTAGTATTCCTGATTAACGTGCATATTACTCCCAAATGCCTCTATAAATGGGCAAGCACAACACAGCTTAATTAGTCTGGGCATTTTGAAGTTTAAATGGGGCAGCATTATTAACTGTGGAATGTAACTGGCAAAATAGGAGCTAATCTTATTCTGAGTTATTGCTTACATGTTTTTTTTGTACACAGTAAGAAAAAAGAAAGTGGCAAATAATTTTTCCCCAACCTCCCAGTCTCCATTAAATGTTCATCAGAACTGCAAAGGCATAGACAGTGCTTCAAGTGAGAACACTGCAAACCCAGATCTGAGTGCACAAAATAATATATCAAATCAAGTAATCATGATTTGGTTTTAATAATATTCTTGTGTAATTTATACTAATGAAGCTTTTTTTTTTTTTTTACATATGCTTGTAATATGGCTAGACCTAAGCATTTACAGCAGTTATGCAAGTTTAATTTCCCAAGGTCCCCAGATACTTGCAGAATTTCCACATGATCTGTTACTGTCTCGTTTCTATGGTGCATGCAGTAATTAATTTTGTATGATTGTTCACATTACCAGTGTGTGCATTTGGGAAGAGTAGAATCTCTTGTATTAAAAAAAGAATTGCAAGAACAAAAAAAGGAAAGAAATGTGTTCAAGGAGCACGTTTTGGACTAGCATAAGAGTCTGGTTATTAGGCAGTTAGGTGGTTTGTTTATCTTAAAGCAGAATTAAATAATTTAGAAACTGTTGCAGTTAAAAGTAAACAAAACAATTTTTCCTTTATATTATTTGTCCTTTACATATTTGTGTTCATATTGAAAATTATTTGTTTGTAAGCATTTAAAAATTATATGTAGACAAAAATTTATCATGCCTTTACAACTTCTAAAGCTATGCTTGTTCTTGATAGAAGCCAAATTTTCAGTTATGCATTTCTTAATAGGCTAAAATCTCACAAATGGCATCATTCTAATTAGAAATGTCATAGTTAGTCCCCCTAGTGTATATTGCATTTTGATAGTTTTTAGATGGATATTGCTGATAACATGTGTGATTATAATTTTTCAGGTAGCATACAGTTTTTCTGTTGTTTAATGATGTTATATGGACCTTTGTATGTAATTGTTTTGTGGTTTGATGATGTTTGCACTTTGCTATAAACCTTAAAGATATTTCAGAAAATTAATGGCTGAAAGCAATATTCTAAGCCCATAAAAATAAAAATGTCAGAGTTATTTCCTCTGCTGTATTCCTGAGTAATATGAACACAAAAGGAGAATTAAATATGGCAATGCAAAGAAATAAATTGTGAAAGATTGTTTTTGAAAGTAATTTCATAAATCACGTTAAAAAGCTAGGAATAAAATAAACTGGAATTTTTTCCGATGTTGTTTTACTTAGTCCTATGTCTTGATTATTTTACAGATCAAGAGATGGGTTAAGTATATGATTGTGAACTAAGCACTCATCCATCTCAACCCATTGTGCTACAGACTTGCTGTCTGTCCTTAAGCAAGTCTTCTGTTTTCTGTAGTTCAGAACAGTTGTCTGCTAAAATTGCTCTGTATCTCCATCTAAATTTATTTGGTATCAATGCAATGGGATAGCACAAGGTGTATACAGTGCTAAAGAATTCGGTGCTTTGTGTTTTCTTCTCTGTAAAATGGGGTTGATACCTGCTTATTTTACAGAAGCATCTGTGAGAATTAGTCTGTAAATCCATGGTATTAGCTATTATTAACTTGAGGAGGTGGTGTGATGGGGTAAGTAGGGCAATTGGCCACAGACTGAAGACCAGTTCTGTCCTTGAAGCTCTCTTTGACCTCTGTGCTGATAAATCTTTTTGCATCTTCTATGCCTTAGATTTTAAAAATAGTCTGAGCTCCCTCTCTGAAAAGCTCTGTAATATAAATATCGTTATTATGAAAGTGAAAGCTCTGCATTTCTGAATAAAATCTATTGTAGAAAATTATATAGCAGCTTCAACTGAACATGTAGCAATCACTTTAACTTTTTTTTCTCATATAATTTGTCACTCAAGAAATGCAACAAGTTTTTGATATCTGAAACTGTCACCTTTTAGGGATATATTATCTGTGTGTTCATTCATGCTGAACTAGTATATTTGCAGAAAAGCTGCTAAGCAGTATCTAAATTTAAAGTAGACTCTGAAATATACATGCATCCAGACTGTAGAGCTGAGGCAAACCTTTATAGTTTTTCTGTCAAATTCTATTTAGTGTATATGTTCAGAGGTTGAATTTATTTTCTGTGTGTGTTTATATTCATGTGCTTGGTTTTCACAGGTCTAAAAATTTGTGTTGAGATAGAAGAGCAATTATTAGCTCATTCTAATACTTTGAGTTTGAAAACAGATTGAAAATCTCTGAGGTAATGAAGAGATCCAGACTTCCCCAATATCCATGAGAAAATGTGTAATTATGTAGAAAAAAGTCCAGCACTTCTGACCTATATGTTGTCTTTCTCATGATATGAAGTGATAACCAGCAGCCCTGTTTAAGCTTGTTTAAATAGGGAAAATTTTTACCTGAAAAGGACATTCTCCTTTTCCTAAAAAAAAAACACCCATCAAATTGTGAATTCTCCAAAATCTCTTTTAAAGAGATCTGTGGCCTGAAATAATAAATGTTCTAGGAAGCATGTGTTTAGAGATACCACAGGGATATAGTTTCACTCTGAAACTACTATATATTGACAATGTGATTTATTTAATCCTTTTGTATTTTTAAAATGTGATACATATGTGGTAGTGTAGCAGTATAAAATAAAAAGTTAAGTGTAAGCATTGAAGCAATTTATATTGGGATTGCAAAAGATATCCTGAAACATGCATGATTTTAATTTTAGCCTTAATGCTGTTAGGATGGCTGTATCATCCTGTCCTAATGCATTTGACTTGCTAATTATAAGTTATATTTTATATAATGTTTGGCCTTTCTTATTCTGCAAGATTATTTCAGTGCTTAGAAATTGAAAGCAATAAACAGCTTGTTTATTGCTTAAAAAATAAGTCAGGTATCTCTCCATGGAAACCAGCTTTCATAGAAATCCTGTGAATGCCAGGGAATTTTCTTTTCCTGCTTACCAGTAAAGGAGAAGTAGACTGCACATTGTGCAAGTCATTATGCAAAGTCTGCTGCTTATTTATCACCTCCCCCAAATTATATTTGAGGTCTGACTGACAAAGTAAGAAACTTTCAGTACTTACTGAAAGTAAGTAGGAGTTTAGTTAAATTACTAATTACCCACTGATAGAGTATGAATATGATAGGTGAATCATATTTCATTGTTCCAAGACTTACAAAGTCTTTAGAACCTTAAATCATAACCTCAAACTGTAGTGTTATCTCACCTTGTCAGTGGCCACTGGAAAAATAGGTAAAAAACTTAGTCTTTGTGATTAAGGAGTGTAGGTGCATTGTTGAAGAGATTATTGAAATAACTGAAACTCAAACACCTGAGTTATGAACTGTGCCAACAGTATTTAATAGCATTTGGAATCTTGATTCTTTTTTTCTTATTGGTGGTGAATTGTCTCTGGTTTTGTTGGCACGTGCTGGCCTGCTGTCTTTGCCATGAAATTGATGCCTGCTGTCTTTGCCACGAAAGCAATGTTGTTACCAGTGAGTGGTGGCGTGCATTCAGTGCACATTGGATATACATTCCTGCTGTGGATTACCTAATTTTCTGTCAAAGTAAGTGTGTGGAATATGATGCAATATAAATGGTGTTTTGGAGAGTAAAGGTTGGACAGATTTTTAGCCCAGTAACTAGCAGCAGTGGCAACTATTACTGTGGATTTGAAGTTCAGGGGTCAGAAGTGTCTTTCTGAACCATGGAAACAATGTCAACTCTGCTTCAGGAAGACCTACAGAAGTATTTCCTCACTGCGTTCTAGTTTGCTTCTGTGATTTATTTGAGCATCATTTAAGAAGTAGTTATTTCTTCTGCTTTTGCTTGTTTTTTTAGGAACAAGCATGCTGTAGTATTAGTGAGCCTTTTTCAGTAAAATGAGACAGTATACATTCTGTTGTTTATCTTTTTTCTACTAAGCTTCAGACTCTCCTGTTACACAGTTCCTATGGAGATCAGTTTACATTTGTATGGTTTAAAATGTTTTATCTATGGATAGGGTTCAGTGGGTTATGGTTTGCTTTGTAGTGGTGTTTGCAGCTTAATTTCTTGCAGCAGTGTTGCAGCAAAGAGCTAGTTGTGAAATTTCAAATGTGAATCTTGGGTCGTATAGAAGGCTAAGAATCAAAACATCATTTGAGGAACAGAAGAAAGTAGTAAGGAGCTGGAGAGTTTTAGATTGATATTTTCATTCCATTCTCTTGAAAAAATAGTGCAACATGTATTCTATTGGGTCTGAACTTCTGGTGCAAAGTTAATGAGTCTTCTGTAATTCAGCCATCTATCAGTAGATTACTTACTGAGTTTTGGCCGTCCTCTGCTGAGGCTTCATTGAATAACTTCAGGCTTCACTGAATCACTTCTTTGTGGTGTTAATTCTTCCACTGTATTAATATATTTCTCTTGAGTTGTGATAAATTCAGTATTATGACTGTTAGCAAGCTCTCAACCTCAAAAGTTGCCAGAAAGCTGTTGGCAGTAGTAAAATTAGTTTCTACATTAAGAATGATTATGTAATAATGAGGCTAAGAATGAACAACATACTGAAGAAAGTGCGCTGGAGTCTCTGCCTGACACTAGTGGGAAAGGCTACCTTTGTGGTGAGGTGATAACAGGTGTGGACGAGGTGCTGTAGAAGGGATATATATTCAAAGGAAAAAGGCTTATGGGAGGCTGACGAAAGGAAGAAGGAAGAAGAAGTGAATTAAAAAAGAGAAGTCTGTGTGTTGAGGGGGGATGTGACTGAAGAAGCTGGAATATGAGAGTAAAGTTAGTAAAATTTTGTCATGCTTTACTTGCATATGTAAGAAGTAGTACCCAGTAGAGCAATGCATGGATATATATATATAGATAGGTATTCACTCTTTAATTGCCTGAGAGCTTCTGGTAAAATAGGGGGTATTTAATGCTGCTGAAGTTGCATCCCCTACTCTCAGGAAATCTGAGTGACAAAGTAACATAGTGCTTTTTGAGCCTGCATGTAGCAGTTGCTTCAGGGTTCATTGAATCATTGTTTCTAGTAGTAGTTACTGACCGGCTTTGGGACGGAAGGGAAACGTCGCTTGTTCACCTCGGTGCTCTGGGTTTATTTTTTCATTGCATCTAACAGCAGTTTAACAGAAAAGTGAGCAAGTCAGAAAACAAGTAGTAAGTAATTACACAGAATAATTTTTAATCTCTTTGTGGCTATAGTTCATAGCTACATCAAAAGTGTATACATACAGTCTCCACCAAAGTATATCCTGCTATCTTACAGTGAATTAACAGTCATGGACCAGTGAAGGCATAAAACCTGTATTTCTAATTGAAAAAGTCTTAATCCAGAATGTCATCGCTTTAAATTGGTTTTGACTAGTTCACACCTTTCACAGAAGCAAAAGAATTGTTGGCAATTTGCACTGACAGTTATTCAGAAATTTAAATGTCTCTGGTAACAGACTTCATCACCAATAGCATTGATGCTACAAGGTTAGATCAAGACTTGAGTTAAAGGACTGTTCCTTGTCACAACCTGATTTCCACTCTTGCATATGATGTTCAAACCTCTTTAACTCATGAGGTGCTATGGATATAAGGCAAAATGTAAAATTACCTTTCCGAGTGTTGTAAGAATACGATAATCAGTTATGTAACATCGTATCTTCTTCAGATGGTTGTTCAAATTACTTTATTCTAGCTGTGTTCTGCAGTGCTGGTTTTGCATGTTCCCATAAAAACATTTTAAAATATTTTTTACAGAAATGTGTGCTGCAACTTGATGTTGTGAATGGGAATTGTATGGCTCTAGTTATTTTCTTTGCATTTCTTATTGTCCCTTATAGGCTTATCCAGATGAGTCTCATTCCAGGTTTGTCTCCTGCAATCGTGTTGATGGCTATACTAGTTTTACCTTGAGAATAACTTGCTAAACAGTAGAGATGCTTTTCAATATATTTATATTTTATTAACCTGTTAGTGGCACACCTGAATTGCACTACTTTGCATTTTGTCTTGCTTTTAAGGCGATTTGATTCTTCTCTTGACAAATAAAAGCAGAATTTGCTAATGCAGGAAATCTCACAGTTAGAGCCGACAAGGGGCAGTTCTTACCTTTATTGGTTAGCATGGTGATAGTGCAAGCTTACTAATTTCCAGAGGGATATTGAAATTCATGAAGTGTTTGGATTTTGCATTTGGATACTATTCTTAAATTTCTCAAAGGCAGTAACAATATTTACTTGCATTAATTCTGACATAAACTCAGTTGACATACTGCAAGAAAGATTTCATTTTGTTTTGAAGTAAGAAAATACATTCTTTGAGGTTTTTTCACTGTTAGGTTGCCAGGTTGCCTCAGACATCTCTTGCAAACAGATTTCTAATGTGCAAGTTTGCTGAGGAAATATTACTGCATGTCTGCTTTTGGGTTTGTTTTTTTTTTTTTCTGCTTTGGATGCTTGCTTTGCTTTTGTGGGAATTTTAGGGGTAAGAGTGAAGCATGTCTTCTGAAAGCCGTGTGATATTGGAAGAGTGTGGGGAATGGCATGAGGAAAGTTTTCTTGTGTGTGTCTCAACCTGATACTGCCATTCCTGTACCATAGATAATGCAATGGTTTAATGGGGTAACACCATGACAGCAAACCAACTTAAGCAGTTACCAGAAGATCTGCTGCAGAGCTTTAGAAAGCAAAGGCTCAGAAATAGGTCAACAGGAAAGCTCCAGTAGAACTGTAATAAATATAGCTGGCTCTGGCTAAGAGTGAAGTTTTCCGGTTATCTTATCATGCAAGTCAAACTTGCTGTGTATTTTTAAGTGTACATTCTTTGTCTCAAAACCTTATATCATGATTTGATTGCTGTTTGCTTACTTTTTAAAATTTCCATGCCCCAGTGATTTTTCTTCTGTTATACATGCTCACTCATTTCTCTCCATCCATTAATTTAATTTTCATCATTCCCCTTGCATTTTCTGAACCAGCATGATGTAGAGTTGCTGTAGGAATTAAGATCAACAAAATCACTTTAGGAACTGCCATCCGTGTGTCTGAGCCAGTGTCAGTTTTCTGTCTGAAACATTGTTTCTGTTCTCCTGCTCAGCTGAGATGGATACATTAGATTAAGGTTGGAGCAAAGTTTAAATCTTTTTCTGTGCGCCAACATCTATATACTGATATATGGTTTAATTCTTGATTCTAGTTTATTTTCAGTACTGAGTTCCTGAAGCTGTGCTTTCCAATCTGTGTATTTATTTCACTTTTTGTTATTTTAAAGCTTTTTTGCAGTTGGATAAAAACGAGCAAAAACTAACTATCGATCAGCCATCTAAAGGAATAAGGAAAAATTACTCTTTCACAAATGAAGAAGTAAGACAAATTGATCGGGAAAACCAGAGGCTGTTAAAAGAACTGTCCAGACAGTCTTCAAGGCCAAAGAGAAGTAGCACGTTAAAGACGTCGTCCTTAGTGCCGTCTAGATTGTACCACAGTGCCCTCAACAGGCAGAAAGAGCAGCAAAGAATTGAAAGAGAAAACCTGGTAAGTTTTGAGTATGGATGTGGATCAGGAAATTGAGAAGGGCTGTTTCTTGTCAGCTGAGCTGTTGTGAAATACTTAGAAAATTGATGAGGTAGTGCATAGACCTTTACTGCACTAAGTCTTCAACGAATTTCCATTACTATGGTGTTGGCATAATTGTTTGTACGGGTGGATTTCTTGTGTTTTTTGGAGAGGCAGGAGTAATGATGCTTTTTTCAGATGGAAATAGATTTTAGTTTATATGCATTTGCTCTACTTTGGTATCATTTAAAATGGACAACTGTTACTGTTTACGCACTCAAAACACTGGATAGCAGTCTGACTATTCATTCTGCTTCATGCATCATGACTACTAGTCTCTCAAAAACAGATTTGCATAAAATAAAACAATATGATAGCGTCAAATGCATTATATTTGAAATACAGAGGATAAAGTCAATGTCAGTTTTTGTTTTTGACTCAAAGGTACATCTCTGAATATTTGTAGCACTCTGCCACAATTTGTATTGGCAACTGCATTAGCTTACTTTACTGGAAAACAAAAATTCATACTCATTTGAAGTGATGTTGGCAGAGTTCTCAAATAATAAAAGTACTACTGTTTAGAATAAGATACTTTTAGTAATTGAGTTACAAACATGTAATGATATTTTCGTATCTCCTGTATATTTATCAATGTGTTTTGAAAAGAGATAAAATATAGTTAAAATAATTGGAAAATATATATTGGAAGTAATTTATTACTTTTAACCCTTTGTGTAAGTGTAGGTTGCAATTTCCTTTTCTGGACACATAGGCAGAGATACAGGTTCATCATGGAGAAAGTTTGATTGTCCTATTCGGGCAAATCTGTTAGGTTTTCATTCTTCCAGCTATCAGATTGTTAAAACTTCAAATTAGGAAACTTTCTCCCCAGCTCTGCTAGACTGCAGTTCACACTATACAGTCTGAAAGAATTTAGCACAAGATTTTGTTATAGATGTGTGATAGTTGTCATTGGCGGGGGAAGAAATGTTTTTAGGCTTTAGTGTGTTTAGGTTGGTAGGAGGGTGTTAATGGTGTTTATTTCAAATGTTGAAAACAGGTCTTGCTCTACTACATGAACCTTGTTAATATGAGTGTATTCTTAAGCAATGGGGAGAAAGAGAGCTGTGCCACAATCTCTTAGGATGTAACAGTACTGTGCTTACTGCATAACAATTGATGATTACAGTAAGTGAATGTATAGGATGTTTTAAAATACACTTCTGTTTACTCAAAGCCACAACCCCTTTCTCTTATGATATATTGCAGTGTTTGTTCAAGACTGTCTTGTCTTTGCAACTCTTGGATCAAAAATTCAGGAGATCTAAGCACACAAAGTCATTTCGCATATTGCTGCTTTAGTACACATTAGAGATTAATGGTGGTTGTGTGTAGTCCAAGAAATAGTATTGTTCATTTACCAAGAAATAATATTGTTCTTATTTACTCATTTATAGTTTTGTTATTGTCATCAGCAATGTGGACGGACATGTTAGATATGAGAATTTATGTTAGGACATCTTGCTTGTTTGGACTATAAAAACATTTGGTTTATTCTTTTCCTCAAATTCAGGATGATATATTCAGTTCTTCTTTTAGGATCAGTGATTCATCAGTGCAGCTATTCCATTTTGTTTAACTTTGCTATTGTTTTTTAGGAGTTGTGTTTATTTTTTTTTCTATTTGAATTGCATGTGCACCTAGAGCATCACAGTTTTAACATACTGATTTTTGTAGCACTACCTTTTGAGATGTCACTACCTTGTGACATGCTTTTCTTTGAGACTGTAAATGAAAGAGCAGCCCTACCCTGCTCATTGATGACCTTTTTTTGCTTTATATAGATAAAAGAATGTGCTTTATGTACCAGTTTTCTTCTGGTTGGCAGCTTTCTTCACCTTCAAAAATTTGAAGAGGTCTAATTGATGGAATTCCATGGAACTTCCTTATCAATCAATCTTCTGTTACTTCTCAGAAATCTTTTTTAATGCAAGGCCTGACATTACAGCATACAGGATATAGTGATTGATACACCTTTGTGAAATGTTTGTTGGAGAAGGATGCAGAGTTTTGTAAATAATTCAAGAATAGAAATATACAACAGTAGTCTCTGCTGGGGGTTAAAGTTTTGATGCATAGATTTTTTTTGCCGATGCTGGCACAACTCTTATAATTTCTTGTCCTGAGTTTAATCACTTTTCTAGGGAATATGTTCACTTGTTCCACTAGAACATTTTTGGAGTAATGCCTGTGCTTACTGTTATCAGAAAGTTTGATTTCTCTTGTATCAGAGATGGTGAGGAAAATAAGTAAAAATTTAGGAAATTAGAGGGGAATCTGAATGGTTTGGTGCTCCCTAGCTTTGTGAAAGTGTGCAAGGAGCTATAGGAAATATGTTGTTCCCACAGACTGTTAGAAAGAGCAGTGTTGGAATAAAAAGACGTATTACTCTGAGGAGCAGTACTTTTAAAGTACTGATTAGCAATTTATGGAAAAAAGCACATTAGCAAAAAAGGTGATCTGCTAAAATGATTGCCAGAATTTTGTACTTGCTGCTTTTGACTGTGCTTTCATAAATGGCTGCTTTTCAGAGCTAGCAAGATCAGAGTGTGTCTCTTGCCAACAGAGGATGCTGTTGATTCAGAAAACATTGTACTTTTTTGTGTAAAGAAAATTTCAATCCCTCATCTTCAGTGGAAAGGAACTTAAGTGTGACCACTGTGTTACTTAATTCCCACGTCTGCATAAATGTGTCTGTCTGTATTGATAGTAATAATTTTTGCCAGTGTTAATAAGATACTGAACTTCATAAACTACATGCCATTTAAAATTTTTTGTGGTTTATTATGTAATGTAAAATCTGTACTGGCATATACAGGTAAGTGTTTGGGGTCCTTGTAATAGAGATTTGCAGCCATCACACCATTCTGCAGTCACTTCTTCAGAACTTAGAAGTAGTTAACGTCTCTCTGTCGTTTTCTGATGGGTTTTCTCCTCATTTTTATTAATTCCAACTAGGATTTAGGTGTTAGATGACCAAAGTGAGCTACGCTGCTGTTTTTATACAAGTTCCTAGGGAACAGTGACCTTTTGAATTCACACTGGAATTTCACTAAAAGATCTCAGCAGCTGTGGTAGGGACAGTACTCAAACCTTTGCTCAAGAGGGATACTGGTGGTTTCTTTTGTGGATATTTAGTTGTTCTGTGCATCCCTTTGTGTTCTTCCAGCCTCATACTGCCTCATACATGGCTCACTGCACATGACACTTTATGTTCTTCATTCCCTCACCTCATATTCCCACAAAATATATCCTAAGCCCTAACAGATCCAACTCTGATCTCAGTTCCAGTATAGTGACCCTTCTGCACAAATTTTAAAAAGTCACTTAAACTGTATTTCTCTGCAAGGGCTGTCTTTCTCTTGTCACTTGCTTGGTTCCCTGCATCCTTTGTGCTGCAGATTTATGAATGCTTCTGGCCACCACTTGCTGCAGTCAGCGGCTTCTACCAGCACAAGGATTCTTCAGGGAGACTTTCCCTTCTCTTGCAGTCAGAGCTGGCTTTGTCCTGCTGGAAATGCTGAATCTCCTTTAGAAATGCATTTATTGTACTGCTGTAAACATGTATTCATTTGTCTGACTTTGAATTAGTGTTGCAGATGTGCTGTGATAGTTGGGTGGGGAGTAAAGGGCAAAGGAGAGATAGTGTTTTGGCCATCTCCCTACCTGGCTGACACCATGTACAAAGAATATTCCTTAGATTTGCTGCTGCACTGTGCTTTTCCTGCCAGCTGTGTCATGCTGCAACAAGGAAAATAAGTTCTAGGCATGGAAAGAAGTAGAGGGAGAGCCACCGGTCCATCAGGTTGCACCTGAGCACATTGTACTTTCCTCCCTAAAAGTATTCTGTGTTGCTTTTTCTCTGCCTTCCCTTTGTTCTGTCCCCAAGGACTAGACCCAGAGTTAGAGAGCTTTACGAGGCCTTGGATGCTGCACAGTTACGTGGTTGTAGAAAGAATACCAAGTTTGTTCAGTCTCACTGATCTCTGTCTGAAGGAGAAAGCCGTAGAGAATGCAGCTGTGAAAGAGAATATAGTATTCTGTGTGGAATGCAGAAATACTCATGTTGCATTGATGGGCTCCTCAGAAACTCAAGCACACAGGGTTGTATATATTTTCACTTACTGGGTTCAAAGGTGTTGGATGCCAAATCTAGAGACAAAATGGTAGTTCCTGAGATAACAAAATGCAATGCCAATAAAAGATTTCCATGGCCCTGTTGTAACAGGAAGCTGTCAGGATGTGGGATTGGCACACAGATGTGCATGGCTTAAATATACTACAGTACAGTACAAATATAGTGTAGTTCCATGATGTATTTAGGTTATAGGCTCGTTATGGTCAGATTTTTGTGATCTTCAAATTCATGATCCAGATTTGAGATTACCGTAGCACTGCTATGGTAATTATAATAAAGAATGACTAATTGGTGTGTTCAAGGAAAGTTTTAAATACTTTGCAAGCTGTTTAATTTTGTGGGACTTTTTTCCTGTACTCTTAGCCTGCTTTCATTGTGGTGTTGCCAGCCACACATAAACTTGATAGCTGTTCAGTTAAAAAGACTTTTCTGTAAATTGAAGACCTATAAGAGTTTTCTGACAGAGTTTGTCAGGTTAGAGCTAGTTAATGCAACTGTCAATTAAAGAAAATTACAAATACTTTGATAAGAACAGGAAGTCGTCCTTGAATACAAGTATTTGTTTCCCCCTCCCCCCTGGACTCTGCAAAGGGACAGTGTGGTCACTAACATCAGTGACATTAGAGGAGGTATCATATAAATAAATTTGAGCAGCTGTCAAGGCACTCTAGTCAGCTGGTTAAGAGGAGAAACTGAAACCTTCATGCTTTCAAAAAGTACAGTTCTTTACCTTCTGTCTTACTCAGTTTAGGAGTGCTACATTTTCAGTGTTTTTTTCCTTTTTCAACACAGCTGCAGAAAAGCCTGTACTAATTATGTTTGAGAGTTTTTCATTTTTCTGACAGAGAGCTTTACAATTGCTGTCAGTGCTCTCCTGATGTGTCCAAAACTGAACTAGCAGATTCACTTTCACTCTGCTGTATAGCAGTTTTTTGATTGTGTTGGGTTTCTATGTTCTTGAGTTGTTGCCCATCTGACATTTTCTTCTATCATTGACAATATGTATTTTAGTGTCTTTATAGATAATGATCTGTGTCCAGATGCCTAGATTTATAAAGGATTATCCAATTCCTAGAAGGTAATCATGCCAGGAACATCTTCTGTGACTTTTCTTTTTTTTAATATTCTACTTTTACTGTAAAATCAGTATTACAGTAAAAGAAGGTGGGGAAAAAAATAAGCCAGGGAAGTCTTTTTGCCAATATGAGATGTTATCAATGATACGATACTATATATGTTTTGAGTTTGAATCAAGAACTCTGAGGACCTACACTGCAATTTAGAGCAACTAATAATAACATTCCTGCCATTAGTGTCTGTTACTGTTTGGTTTTTTTTTTTATTCCTTAAAATTTGATTGGGAAGCTGTATTTGGTTCTAAACACCATTATGTTCTGTGATCCGATTCTTTGATCATTGACATTAATGATGAAATTTCTATTTACTTCAGTGATGTCGGATTAATTCTCCAGAGATTTGGTACTTCAGAAAGGAAAGTGTCTGGTTTCTTTAGTCTATTTCTTGAAAGAAGAACATAATGAAAGAATTCGTAGATTTTAACACATAACTCAAAAATAACATTTGCTCAAGATATTTGTGCTATTGTACCAGGTAGTTCCTCAGTTAAGGACCTCAAGATTGTGGGGTTGGATATTAAAAAAACAAAAATTAGATTAGTTCTGGGTTACAGATTTAGTAGGTCAGGACTGCCATTTTACTGTGTCAATGTGTTCGTTACTGTGTGCAGCAGGCTGTTCTCCAAATGGCAAAATTCACGACTGAAAATAGCATGGAAGTTAGCATGCCCTTGCTTCAGTCTGCTGCAGAGGGCAAGGGAACCACAAGAGCTCTTCTCTCATTCTGTAGAATGTAGAAAGGTTTTCCTTCACACATTGCTGCACCACAGACTCTGTATGTGCTTTTTCTGTAGTGCTTTTTTATTTTTTTCTTTTTTTTTCCCTTTCATTAATGGGACTTGATACTTTTGAAAATACGTGCGTAAAAGTAAAACCAGACCATTTTATTTGAACTAGAATAAAGTGGACATATATATATATATATTTAAAAAAAACAGTATATTCAGAATCAACCTTGAAATTACTGTAGTGTTAAGGTACACAAATTCTATGAGACTGTTGCAATTGAGCACAGACTTGAAACATGCTCAGTAACATGGGAAAGTTACTGCTTTAATTTACCTGATCTGTTTCTGATGTAACTTAATATACTGAGAGCTTCTGTTTTTAATACTAAAGGTAAAATAAGTGATCTCTGCAAGTATAAACATATATAGTTGTATGAGGAGATGTGGGTGAAGTTGTGAGAAAAATGTTGGATATAACATTTAGAGACAAGTCTACTATTTTGTGTTTTAGTGAAGAGCTGTTTTCGTGCTTAGTGAAGAGCTATTTCTAGCTGAAGTCCTTCCTTTGACTTTTGCTTACTTAGGTATTCCTGCTTGACGATGAACTGGCTGGCACTTTATGCAAGCACTTGTGACATGTTATGTCTGAGCCAAAATCACTTGTCCTTTCTCTCTTGTGCTCTCTGTGCGGGTTTCCAGTGCCCATGCATAAACTACCAAGAGTTTGTAGATTCCTGTTATAGTTAAGACAATGACAACTGTCATCCTGTGAATACTATACTATTTCTTAAGTCACTTCTAGTAAATATTTAAATTCCTATTTAAAAATAATTGAAATCAGTAGGTGATTGGTTGTGCAGTTTAATGATGATACAGCTTCCTGACTTCCACCATATAAGTATACCTCTAGACAATGCATCTTATTAAGAGAGTTATCTTTAGTATTTTGAAGGCTTTTATAAGCACAGTTTGCATTGTCTCTTGTTGAGAGGATGCATGTTGGAATCTGTACCAGCAGTGGTTGTCTCATTGCCAAATGTTTGTAAGCCATCAAACGAATTGAAATCAGTTAGTAGAGGAAATATATAGATCTATGCGAGGCAACCACCGAAGCTGAAATATATTAAAAATGTCAAGTTTGTAATTGGAAGTTGTATGTAGCTGGGTGTGTCCCAATTTGTCTTCCTATCAGGTTTGTTTTTTTAGATTATTGAAATGTCTTAAACCAGTACATTCTGTTTCAAGTAGAAATAATTATGCTGAATAGGAAACTGTATCTAACAAATACTGTGTAAGTAGTTACTCCAATATATCACTTGCCACATGATTACCAGGGCTAATTTCAACAAGAGGACATGATGTCTGTATCAATAATTTCAAATAGAATATCTTAAAATTACATTATGGATAAAACAAAGTGTGTCTTGTAGATGTTTGTGCTTTCCTTTTGAAATTAATTTCACAGAATTGGAGTCAGTAATCCGCTCTGGGCTTCATACAGGGCAATATAAAATGGTCTGTTTGCAAAGCAAAGACTAAAAAAAACCCCAAACTTCTCATTTAGAAAGGAGATCTAACCAAAGATAAGATTAGAAGAGTGGAACCCATTTCTTCACTACTTTTGGTGATAGTCACCAAACAGATGTATTGTTTCAAAGGGCCATAAGGTATAGAGAACTAGGAGATATAAACATACACACAATGTAGAACTGATGATATACAGTAAGTTGCCGTTTGTGTCACAACACTGAGAAAAGAATTAAGTTTGAGCGGAATAGCTATGCTGGTCATGATTGGAGAACTTAATGTTGTGCACAGCTAAAAATTTGGGGGGTTTTTGCAGTTCAAATAAAAATCAGTTTATGACTGTTTGTTTTGCAGCATCTTGTTCATTCTTTCTCTCTCTTGATGACATTTTTCTTCAATATCAAGGCTTTCCTGAAAAGGCTGGAAGCGGTGAAACCAACAGCTGGTATGAGACGTTCTGAACAGCTGAGGGACTATCACCGCCACATGAGCTATCTGAATACTTCACCTTCTGTAAAAAGGGGTAAATCTCCTTTAAGCCAGCTTAGTCCTCCAAGTAAGTACTTTGAAGTTGCAGATTATTGCATTTCTTTGCATATGCTTATCTTTTTATAATTCAGAATTGTGGAGCTGTTCATGTTAAGAATAGTGAATATGTTCCTTTTTCTGTCATCTTTAGATTGATCGTTTATCAAAGGGAAATCATCAAAATGGTTTTTTTTAATCACACCAAAACTATGATTCCTATATGCGTTCTTTTGTTGCCATCCTAAATTTCTAATAAATAATCTTGTCAATCATCTTTCTGAAGAAGAAAAAATCCCTGTAAAAGAAACACTGTAGTAAAGTGTTTCTTCTTTTGACAGTACCCGTTATTGAAAGAAGGGGGAAAAGCAAACCCAACAAAAACCCCAAAATAACATCAAGGAATGTTCAAATTCTTGTTAAAAAATGTAAATCTACTGATAGTAGCCTTGTTTTTCTCAGAAACTCTTTGTAAGATCTGGAAGTAGACAATATGTCCCTATAGAGCATATGTGTCAGGTTAAAGAATCACAGGCTTGAATTTTTGTCCTGATCATTTATACAACTCACGATCAATCATTTTGGGGTTGTCTTCAGTTTACTGTGGTTTGGTTTGGGTTTTTTTCTGAGACCTGTGGTATTGTTGCAGTACTAACATAGCATGAGGTTTTCTCTTGTGCTGAGCATAAGAATTCTCCCTTTGTGTATGTGTCTGTGTGTGTTAACAGGAGGAACTTCATCCATTGTACAAAGTACACCGAGCCAGAGGAACGAAAAGTCCTTATCTGATTCAGCCAGTGCGGTATTACAGAGACCTAAACCCACTAATGTTCGTGCTGCTTGGTTATAAGTGTGTTCTTTGCCTCACATTCTGAGATGATACTCAAACTTCTATTTTTAGTGCTTTTGTAAATTCTATGTGCAAAAGTATTTTCTGCATTGTTCAGTGATTAAAATGCATTGCATTTAATGTAATTGCTGATCAAATGTTTTTTAAATGGTGTAAAACACTATGACAGGAAGAAGTTGTGAAAGAGGAGGTGGTATTTAAATGGACAAATTAAATAGAAATTAAACTATTATTTTAGTCTTCAATCGTAAGTGGAATTTGTATCCTTAAGGAAGGACAGAATTGCTTCACTATAGGAGCAAGACGTAAATACAGTTTTTTAATTATTATTATTTTAAAATCATGCATTAAACTTACAAGCATATGCCTAATTCCTGGATTGTTTGTACTTTACATCCTGACTTTATGCAAGCCTTCTGAATTTTGTAGGTCATGTGCTTGTGATTGAAAGAATCTTTAACAGCAGCATGAAGAAGTGAAAAGCAGATTGTGTATTCCTGCATGGTGAGCTAGAATACTGAGGCTGCAGAAGATGATGTTTTGCTGCTTTCAAACATTCAGCACCTGGAGTGTGTTTTGTATGCAAGGCTGTGTCTCTTTCAGATCAAAAGAATTTTGGAAGTTGTGGAATTATGGAATCTTTGCACAGGAAAGAAGCATCTGATATTATTTGAACAACAGTAAAGACTGAAGTAAACAGTTTTGGATTCAGTGTAAACAAGAGAAGTTCTAGTTACTTCTCAAACTAGAGAATAATATTAAACAAGGGAAATATTTCATGGTTCTGCTTTTGCAGATAAGTGCTCTTCTCAGTGGGGAGATGTAAACTTGAGTTCCAGAAAACATCTTGATCATTTGATTTAGAGTGACTACTAACCAGGATTTAGGGAGGAAAAAAAGACAGTAGAAAACAAAGTCTTGTTATGTTTCTTGACCTGTTTTTAAATGTCATGTTTATATCCAATATTTGTGGTAATGTCAGATAAGCTCCAATAGCAACATCCATTTACAAGAGGAGTAAAATTTAATGGCATTGGTAATAGGATAGTAGGTGGTGTGATTTATTTCTATACATAAAGGCAAACTTTCAGTTTGGTTTGTAGAACTGTAGCCTTATAAAGAGCATAAATTGTGATGCCACTATCTGTGGATATTGCTGAAACTTTGCTTGCTTCCCCAGCTTCTTCCCAGGAGTGATACAGGAAATCTCTGTATTATGGATAAAGAAAAAATCTCTATTTGGTAATGCTGGGTCTTTGACATGAAAAATGTGTTATTCTTTACTAGTGCTTGCATGAGAGCCTAGGCTTTCAGGTATTCTGCATTGTAACACACTTTTTACTCAGTCCTTGTGGTAGTTTTGGCAGAGCTTCTTCACTTGGTGACCTGCAGATCAAATTTAGCTGTTAGACAATACTTGGAACTTGTAACTTTAAGCAGCATTGTGGCAAACAGATTTGTATTGCAATTATTATCCATGGTTAGGAACTGTTAACGATTTCTTTGTATAGTGCTGCTGTATTTATTTCTATTATTGTGCAAATTAAAATTATTCTCTATTTAAAGATTTTTGTCCTTGAATGTGAATATGAGAGTAACAGTTTAAATACTTCTGAATATTCATATTATAATTTTTTCTGTGAGGAAATTCACACAATGGATTACTTTTACTTGCGTCATCTTATTTAACTTTGGTATGAAAGAGTGTCAGTTTTGTATGTAATTTGTAAAATCATTAGAAATAAAATATTTAACATGAATTGTCATCGCAGTGGCTTCTTTCAGATTTCTCTAATTGGTATTGAAGTGCAAAGAAGGTTGAATAGGTTGGTACATATTAAAAATGCAGGTTTTCCATTGTTCAAGTGTTAGATGTAAAGAAATAATGGTTTTGTCACGGGCTTTAGTTTGTCTGTGACTTGCTCTTGCAAAGGTACAAAAGAAGTAGTCTCAATTGCTTGTGACAATCCAAGTTTCAAAAGCAATTATAGACCATCTGTAAAGTCTTCTAATTTCCAACCTTTCAGAGGGGTGGCTGCATTTTAGGTTACACTTTCAACAACTGTCATGCTCGTGCCACACATTCTGGGCAGAGCTGCTTTCATGGGAATGATTAATTCACTTACAGTTTTGAGCTCTGACCACAGGTATCCTTGTGGAGAGCATTGCCTGCAATCTCCCACACAGTATGTATTGGCATTTAAGCAGAAATTAGCTACTTACCTGTATTTTCCATGTACTTTATTTCATGTACTTTCTCTTAGCTCAGTGGCATTTTCCTGCATTGATACTCCTTGCTCTCTTTTAATAGTTGTTAGTGCTTCTATTTTGCCTTTTTCCCTGGAACGTAGCTTCTTTCATTTACACTTACTTGAAGTTTCTTTGCTTCCTCTTAATTCTCTTATTCATTCATACATACATTTCCCCCAGATTTTGTACCTCTACCTATTACAATCTGTCGTTGTCTCTTTATAGCCAACTTGGATCTTCTCTAGCACATCCAAATGCCACTTGCAGCCTTATGAGTGAGCTAAATGAAGGCAAGTCTCTTAAGGAGTCATTGGGAATGTGCAGAGGAAAAAGAAAAAGAAGAGAAGAAGCAGAAACTAGCAGGTGAAATTTTTAAGGAAAACTAATGTACTTCAAAAACCAGTAGAAGTATTTTCTTCATAAGCTTATGGTTTGATAGATTGCAGCCCTGGTTGTTTACAATGGGAAAGAAAATAGAGCAGGCATCTAGAAAAGCAAGTATTTAAGAGAGCAACCATGAAAACAGGATGTGTAACATCAGGCCAGGTTTTGTCCTGGGACAAAAATAAAACGTGTTTGGTTAATTTCAAAACAGTCTGTCATTATTTTAACCAGTATTTCCCAAATGCTTCTGTTTTTCAAGTGGATGGATGTTCCTTCCAGACACTGGTTGGTGGCTGGTACCTGCCTTCAGGGAGAACAGAGCTGCTGGTCTGAATCTGTGGCAGATACGTAGAGCCTATCCTGCCAAGTGACAGTCATCTAGGACTAACTGCATCTGACAAATGTTTCAAATACAGGAAAAGGATAACTGGAAGCCATACATATGAAGTAAGAGATGAAGTACGTTAAGTAAAAGATGAAGGTGAAATTAAAGTTAATCTGTTACTTGCTTAGTCTTTACCCCTTTCCCCAGATGGTTTAGAGAAGTTGTGGTCACCACAACCCTGGAAGTGTCCAAGGCTGGGAACTGAGTCTAGCAGACAATGTCCCTGCCCATGGCAGACAGGTTAGATCAGATGGACTCCAAGATCTCTTCCAATCCAGACTATGCTCTAATTCTATGATTTTTTTCCCTAGGTGGATGCATAGACTACACGCAGACAAGCATTTGCTAACTGAACAGCTGAAAATGGCCACAACTCACTTTCCCTACCTTCCTTTGCCTAATCAGACAGCTAGTTCTTCTATGCATTCACAGCCCTGCAGCATCTAAAGTTTAAAAATGTTTATTAAGCATGTTCTGCTCTCATTGATAATTAATAGTGCAAAGTGTCCATAATGGTTGAGTATTCAATTCTAGAATACTTTTTCAAGTAAAATAAGCCCCAATGACTTCACTTATGCAATGAGGACATGCTTCAAACTTAGGGGTAATATAAACAAATTCTAATAGCAGCTAAGTCTATATGGAAGCTTATCTCTAATAAGACATCTGGCTGCAATATGCGTAAACTGATGCCACTTGCTTTAGCAGAATTATCAATAATCACTTCACCTACCTAAAGCTCCTTTGAAAAAACTTCCAAGACAGAGCCACTAACAGTGTCTGATTAGCACATCACCTTGGAGGACATGCTTGTCATGTGTTCAGTGTACTCAAAACAACAGAAAGAAATTCATTAATATATTAATTTATTTAATTTCAGTGTAAGTTCAATTGAACATGAGAACAGACAACTTTTTGTTTTGTGACAATACAGGGTATTTTTGAAACACTGTACTTCCATATTCTACAAAGTATGTTTGAAAAACCAGATTATGGTTTCAACCATATTCCTGTATAGTTTGTAAGGGAAGAGGCTGCAGTTAGGAACTCAGCCTGGTGCTTTAGTATAGTTTATAATTTCAGACATAATTTTCATTTAATATTATATTAAAAATAGAGCTTTCGAAGAAAACAGGATTTTAATTCTTTAATTCTTATGTCATCGCAGTGCTGGGTAGCTAGAGCCATTACTTAGTATAATAAATATTTATGACATTGTATTAAGAGTTCACAATATTAAATTTTAGACTATGTCTAGGCCACCTAAATTTTGTCTCTAGACAAAATTTATTGCCTGCAATTTTAAGTATAATATATACACAGATTTCAATATAAATGGTGGAGGAATTCCCATACAAAATATAACTGTGATGTAGTGGACAATTTTTAAATAAATGCATCCTTATTTCTACCAGATATGTTTCTCAAATTTTATTCTGTTTCCCTAGGAAATATTTTGTTGTCCATTACATCACAAGTGCATATTTTTTAAAAAGTTGATTCAGAACAATTGAACTACTGCATTACGGTGTTAAGTTTTAGACATACTTCTTGATTTCATCATAAAGTACTAATACAAAAGCTCCGCCCATGCCTCTCAACACATTCGACCAGGCACCTTTGAAGAACGCTTTGGATCCTTCATCTTTAGCTATCTTCCTCCAGCAATCAATTGTGCCCTTATACATAATATCAGCTGTGGAAACAAATATAAAGGTTAGAAGGCTTGAAGTTATACAGCAAGTATGTTTCAACTTTTGTATCTTTAAAACAATAAGGAATAAGCAAAGCACAGCTAAGGATTTAAAATCTAGTAATCAACTAAGGAAACATAATTCTCCATAGGAAATCAAGTAATTTCTCCATCCTTTAGGTAAACATTATAGAAATAACCAGCAATATGTTCCCTGTAGGTTTTTTAAGGACTCCACTGGGAAGGTTATTAATTTTCCATAAAAAAAAAAAAAAAAAAAAAAAAAAAAAGGAAAAATTCCATAAAAAAAAAAAAAAAAAAAAAAATAGTAGCTCCTGTCTTATCTTGATGAAGAGAAACTTTCTGCTGCCAGAAACTTTCTGCTCCACAGGAACACTTATTCTTACCTCCCTTTCGGCCAGATTGCATCATCATCCTACGTCGCACAGTATCAAAAGGATAAGAAACCAGCCCTGCCACTGCAGTGACACTCTGGGCAATCATCCAGCTCACTACGATATGCACATTCTTTGGATCAGGCAACATACCTGCCATCAAGAACAAATGAGCAGAATCAGTACAGAGGGAAAGGGCTGTGGGAAAGATGGCTGTGAAAGGAACAATCACCCACCAACCCCGGAGGCAATCCAAACCTAAGCCATCTGCTCAGAGAAGCAAGTAGAGAGAGGCAGGAATGCATGTCAGAAACACCTGTGCACATTCTAGCACTGCACTCAACTGGTGCTGAGCCAAGCTCTGCTTGTCCTTGTACTGCCAAGTGCCCTAGAGTCCCTTTACTGGATGGATCTTCCCTTGCAGTCACTCCTCCATGCATTTCTTACCCTTGGCTGTGTCGTATACCCCAAAATAGGCTGCTCTGTAGATGATGATGCCCTGGACAGACACGCTAAATCCTTGGTACAGGCCCTTCAAGCCATCAGACTTAAAGATCTTGACAATGCAGTCGCCCAGCCCAGAGAACTCCCTCTCAGTGGCTCCTTTGCCCACGTCAGCCGCCAGCCGGGTCCTGGCGAAATCCAGCGGGTAGACGAAGCAGAGGGATGTGGCTCCCGCGGCACCCCCGGACGCAAGGTTGCCCGCGAAGTAGCGCCAGAACTGCTTGTGCCTGTCCACTCCGCCCAGGAAGATCTGCTTGTACTTGTCCTTGAAGGCGAAGTTCAGGGCCTGGGTGGGGAAGTACCGGATGACATTGGCCAAGTTGCCTCTCCAGAAGGAGGCGATGCCCTGCTCCTTGGGGATGCGGACTATGCAGTCCACGATGCCCTTGTACTGCTTATCGGCCGTGATCTGTTTGCTGGCATGCTGGACCTGCAGGGAGGAGAACGGGACGGTGAGAGAGGGGCACCGCAGGGTGACCTCGCACGCTGAAGGGCACGGACGGGCCCTGCTCCCGCCACCCCGAGGCGGCGCTCAATGTCCAGGGCAGCTCCCGCGTAACCGGAGCCGGCCGAGCTCCTTCCCATATTTAGTCACGCCGGGCAGCGCCCGCCGCGCCGGCACCACCTGTGGCGCGGCACCGCCGCCCCCCATCGCCCCCTCACCTGCAGCAGCAACTTCACTCTCTCGATGGGGGCGACAGCCGTCTTGGAGACGGCGGCGGCGATCCCGCCGGCCAGAAAGTCCTTGACGAAGCTGAGCGCTTGGTCACCCATGCCGCGAGCCGGTCCGACAGCCCCGCCCAGAGAGAGGCAACGAGCGCGTACTTCCCCACCCCGCCGGACAAATGGCCCGCCGSCCCCCGCCGCGCCGCTTATAGCCCGCGGCCTCTCGCGATAGGAGGAGGCGCCCCCTCGGGCCGCGGCCATTGGCTGCGAGCCGCCGGGCCCGCCCCGCCATGTTCCCCCGAGCGGCCGCCGCGAGGGACGCGGGCCCGGGACGTTTAAAGGGCAAATTAAAGTTATCTGGTGTCTGCTGGGGAACGCGGTGTCAGAGCATGTGCCCGCTGTATTTATAGCTCCCGGGAGGCACCGGAGGGAACATGGGGAGCTGGCAGGAGCGCTTYAGGCCGTGTTAACCATTCC